TGTACATCAGGATCACCATTAGGGCTTGTTAAAACACATTTCTAGGTTGTCCTCCAGAGTTTCTGATTCGCTAGATCTGAGGTGGAGCCAAAGAATTTATAAGTTACCAAGTGATCCTAAAGCTGCTGGTCCAGGGACCTTTGTTTTGAGAATCCCTGTAATAAAATAACTTGCCCCAGATCAATTTCTACTATCACTCCTCCCTGAAGCCTTTTCTGATTCATCCAAATTGATCCTTCTTAAAATCAGTGTACTGGAACCTAAAAACAGATTTCTTACCTACTGGGCATAGCCCCACTTAAACTACAGGGTTTTCCAGATAGACAGAATCTTCCATGTATTTTGTGTGCAACCACATGAAACCAGTAATTGTTTGCAATTTCTATAATTTTCAGTTGCTTGTTCTGTACTTTAACAAAACTTGTGCTATTATAAAAGTTCCATTTTATATTTATTTGCATCTAAACTGCAATTTTTAGGTGCAGTTTTAATTTACTATTGTTACCAGAAGTTTACATTATCGTGGGCAATACTGTTTGATCTAAAATGACCATCACCAGATTTACCGTTTAACTGTTAAAATAAATAAAACATATATGTGGTAAGCTGGTAGATGTTGAGAACTAGGCAAAGTTTTTTAGAATATTAATATCACTAAGGTTTCTTCTATTTTTTAAGATTTTATTTATTTATTTTTATAGAGAGGAAGGGAGGGGAAAAGAGAGGGAGAGAAATATCAATTGATTACCTCTGACCAGGGGACCAAACCTGCAACCCAGGCATATGCCCCAACTTCCCATGAATTGAACACCCACTTTTCACTTTATGGGACAATGCCCAACCAACTGAACCACACCACTCGGATCAATAAGGTTTCTTTTTAACTATCTCCTCTGTAAGATAATTTCAGTTTACCTCTAATGAGCACTGTCTTAAAAATCCAAATTTGTAAGCTGTATACTTATCACTATGAATCAATAAAACAGTTAGTTGTATTAACACTTCTAATTAAGCTTAATTTCTAATAAGTTTCCACCATAAATTATTGTTCATTTAGCCTACCATAGTTTTGAAATTGGAAAAAATCTGAAAGTGCCTGCTTTAAATATCACTTGAGTACCTTCTGAAAAGTAAAACCGTAAAAAATGTTCAGGGGTAAAGTACACTGATGCCTGCAACTTTGAAGTGCATCCAGAATACAATGAATTGTTGAAGGAATGTGTGATAAAGCACATGTACATCAAAATGATAAGAATTACAGAATCTAGATGTTGGAAATATGGGTATTCACTGAGAGATTTTCAAAATCTTTTGGAATGTTTGACATTTTTCATAATAAAATGTTGGCAAACATTAACTTACACTTACCCAGAATTTATGGAGATTATACATATAAATATATTGTGTGTATGAGATTAAAATATGAAATTGCTATTGATTTAAGTCAAAAACAAATATAGGCAATTTCATTAGGTTCAACTTAGTATGAAGATTGTTCTGAATAAACATGTTTTTTCAAGTCTAACAAAAATATTAACATGCCATTAAATTTTTTAGTAGACATTTTTTACATTTAATTTTTTTCTAATGACTTAAAATGGCTTAATTTAATATTTGACTAACCTTAATACTGATTAATGATGCTACTCTAGCTGTGCTTATATGCATATACTTACATCGTTGAACGTTTCTACAGTCTTGCCCACCCCCTTACTATTTATCAACATGGCCAAGACAAAGAAATATGGCCCAAATGAAAAAACAGAATAGAGCCTCAGAAAGAGAGCTAAGCGAGGAGATCACCAACCTATCTGATGGAGAATTTAAAGCTCTGGTAATCAAAATGCTCACAGATCTGATTGAGCTTGGTCAAAAAAATGAAAAAACAAATGAAGGGTACCCAAAGTGGAACAAAGCAGAATGTTTAGGGATCCAACAGTGATGGGAAGGAAACCAGAACTCAATAAAAGGAACGAATAAACATCCATCCAGATCAAAATGAAGAAACAAGAATTCGAAAAAGTGAAGAGACTCTTACCTCTGGGACAATCTGAAATGTTCCAATATCGGAATTATAGGGGTGCCAGAAGGAGAAGAACAACAGCAAGAAACTGAAAGCTTATTTGAACAAATAATAAAGGAAAACTTCCCTAATCTGGCAAAGGAAATAGACTTCCAGAAAGTCCAGGAAGCCCAAAGAGTCCCAAGGAAGTTGGACACAAAGAGGAACACACCAAGGTACATCATTATTAAGTAACTCAAGATTAAAGACAAGGAGAGAATCTTAAAAGCTGCAAGAGAAAAGGAAAGAGTTACCTACAAAGGTGTTCCCATAAGGCTATCAGCTGATTTCTCAAAAGAAACCTTACGGGTAAGAAGGGGCTGGAAAGAAGTATTTGAAGTCTTGAAAGGCAAGCACCTCCATCCAAGATTACTCTATCCAGCAAAGCTATCCTTTAGAATGGATGGGCAGATAAAGTGCTTCCCAGATTAAGATCAAGTTAAAGGAGTTCATCATCACCAAGCCCTTATTATATGAAAGGTTAAAGGGACTTGTCTAAGAAAAAGAAGATAAAAAATATGAACAGTAAAATGACAACAAACTCACAACTGTCAACAAATGAACCTAAAATAAAAGAAAAACAACAGAAACAAAAACGAAGCAAACAACCAGAACAGGAACAGAATCAGAGAAATGGACATCACACAGAGATATTTTAATGGGGAGGAGGAAGGGAAGAATAGGGAATAAACTAGGAAGAAGAAGCATAGTTAGTAGGCATAAGGGAGAGTTTAAAAATGGTATGGGAAACAAAGGAATCAAAGAACTTAGTATATGTACAACCCATGGACATGGACTAAGCAGGGGAATGCTAGTGTTGGGGGGGCAGGGTGGATGTGGATAGAGGGGGAAAACTGTAATAGCATAATTGGTAAAAAAAAATTCTTAAAACTGTGAACATTAAAATGACAATAAACATGTAACTATCAATAAAAAAAGAGAAAGTTTCTACAGTCTTCCTATATTTTGTTACCAAAGTGATACATCTTATTTCCCAGATGTATACAAATATATTTACACAATCACCTCAGTTGTGGGGAAAATACATAACACCTTAATTAACTGGTCTATTTCTTCTATACTTGTCAATCAAAATTTTATGCAGAAATTGTAGGTTAAAACCTAAACCATGGAGAGTGGTAATAGTTGCACAAGAATGTCAAGGTACTTAATTCTACTTAACTGTACTCTTAAATGGTTAAAGTAGTAAGTGTTGTTATGTATATTTTACCACAATAAATTTTTTAAAAAGAAAGGAGGAGGGGCATTTTTAGATAACCATAAGGATAGTGTAAAGGTCCAGACAGCTTGGCTGAGGTGGGTCAGAGGTTCAGCATGCTAAACAAATGCTGCCTACCTCCCATTCCTGCCTAGGTTGTATGAAATCTAACTGGATTTGAAAGCTGAGTAAAATCACAATTTTGGATATTGTTGCCATGAATTTAGTTCAATTTAATTGGAGCACACAATTAAAATTCATGTTCTGCAGGAACTAGAGATCTCATTCATCTTTAGTGCCTGATTACATAGTCTTTCCCCTGAGCTAGTTATTCTGAAAGAAGCCACTTATCTAATTAAGTGAAAAATACACAGTAGGTAAGAAGCTTTAATTAGCAGTTGTTTCCACTTGTGCATTCATATTTTAATTGGGGGGAGAGAGATTGAAAGGTCTCATTGAGTTATATTGTATTTGCCCTGATGGAACTTGTCAAAACCTAATTCCACAAGAACAAATCAGACCTCATGGTACCTGTTAAAACAGAATGGGAAAATATTACAAATTTAGCCATCTCAATAGAATTTTTTCTTAAAATAAGAAGCATACAGATTTCAGATATCTAGATTTCAAGTATAATAAATATAATTCCAGAAAAAGGAAAACCAGCCCTGGCTGGTGTGACTCAGTGCATTAAGTAAGCACTGGCCTATGAATCGAAAGGTCACCAGTTCAATTCCCAATCAGGACACAACACATTCCTTGGTTGCTGGCCAGTTGGTGATGTGCAAGAGCCAAATGATCAGTGTTTCTCTCCCTCCCTTCCCCTCACACTAGAAATAAATAAAATCTTTTTTGAAAAAAAGAAAAACCATTCATACCTATAATGATTCATGTAGGCCAAATTTTATCGTATCATTATCCTAAACAATTTTTTTTTCTTGCAAGATTTTACTTGTTTGTTTTTAGAGAGGGAAAGAGAAACATCACTGTGCAAAAGAAACATCAGTTGGTTGCCTTTTGCACCACCCCTCAAACAGGACCTGGCAAGCCAGGCATGTGTCCTAGCCATGAATCGAACTGGTGATCTCGTTTGTAGGCCAGCATTCAATCCACTGTGCCGCACCAGCCAGGGCCTAAAACAGTTTATCTTGGTGTCTTCCTCTCTTCTTTCCTTTGGGTGTTTTTTTTTTTTTTTTTTTTTAATAATGTTTCTCTTTTCTTATAGTTACGCTTTACCAGAAAGAGAAATGGGTGGGGGGTTTTCTTCAGTTGATAATTAAATGAGAACATATATAAAATCACTTGTGCAATACTTTAGTTTTTCAAGTTCAAGAGATTAAAAGGTTAGTGTTGAAATGGGGGAAACACTGAATTTCATATATTTCTGTGCTTACCACCCCTCAAAAAATTAAGTCTTATAAAACAAAAGCAGCTTGAGGATTGCCTCCTTGGGTTCATTACAGAAAATAAATTACTAGAAGGATGGAGGAAATTACATAAAAACAAAATTCAGAAAACACATTCTGCAGATGAATACAACGGAAATCTGAAAAAAAAGAAACTATTCTGCCAATAATGTATTGATGGTCTCCTCAGTCTTTTAATGTAGAACAGAGTTATAATATGCCATAATAGGCTCATCTCATTAAGTGGGGGCTGCAGTGGAGAGAAGGATGGGGTCTTCAAGATAATGTCATTATTTTCTCTTTTAATTTACAGAAGTTGTTGGGTGTGTTTTGCCACCGATGAAGATGATAGAACAGCTGAATGGGTTAGACCATGCAGATGCAGAGGATCTACAAAGTGGGTGCACCAGGCTTGTCTGCAGCGCTGGGTGGATGAAAAACAAAGAGGAAACAGTACCGCCAGAGTGGCATGTCCTCAGTGCAATGCTGAATACTTAATAGTTTTTCCAAAGTTGGGTAAGATCTTTAAAAGTAACACAGATATATGTGATGTTATTATATATAACTCTGTGATCTTGGGTTTATTTTAAACTGAGTCATCTCTGCCTTTTTTGGTGAATTTCTTATTCTGTTTCTGTTGTTTCCTCTCTAAATGTCAGACATTTATTTGTTTTGCTAACAGTTTACATTATTTTTTAATGTATCCCCAGATCCATTCATTTGTCTCTACATTAGATGTTTTCATTTGGTTAAGTGAATAAAGGACTTGGACCTCTAACCTTGTGGATAAAATCAAATAACAAAGCTACAATAAAAAGCCGAACAAAGAGCTTCATTCTCTGGAGACCATTGGTGTAGGAAAAAGAAAACAATACTGTGTTCTTCCTAATACTCTTAATTCTTCTATTAAGAAATAAAAGTAGGGAAATGAAAGATTTAATGAAAGACAGTGTCATCATCTTTGGAATCCAACGTATATGGTTTTCTTTCATGAAAACTGCTGTCCTTTTTCTGCAAATTGGCAAGCAAGGAACACCCTAAGATCTTTGAGGATGGAGCTAGCATTGAAAAAAAGTATAGCAAACTGTTGAAAGGAAGCTGTAACTAACATTGGTGTTAACTTAGCATCTTCCATCACAGCCATATGTTCATGAACTGGTGTCTTTCTCTTTGGTGTTTATGCCATGCCAGTTATAACCATTTTTAATACAATCCTTAGCTGTAGTCAAGAGGTATATGAGATTTATATAAATTGTATTTAACTGTTCCTTTTCTTACTCGATAGTTCTACTAAATTAGATAATCCTGGTTTTCAACTATAGGTTGTTGGGAATAGTGGGGCATATAAGATGATTCTGTTAGATATTTTAGATTTTCAGATATATGGAAACAAATATTATTGCAAGAATTCTCACTGAAAACTACAAACAACATGAAATGAGATCCTGAGTTGACAGTGGTTGGTACTCCCCGGTAAAGGTGAATATTTCATTTGGAAGATGGCAGTGGATGAATCTACCCTTTGGTGGTTTCAGTTCCAGGAAGCATGTTCCTAAGTCCATTGTGGTGATTGAATGATGTTCTTGAGTATACCTTATGTTGATTTCTTTTACAAGGAAATAGAGTGGCTAAATGTTGGAAAAGCCAAACTCTTTTGTTAGCCATTTGTATCATGATTTGGTCTTCATATTTTATCATTGAAAATTGTTATTTCACCCTCAAATAATAGGTTCAAATTCTTTATTCTATGTCATGGAGATCTGCCACTTAAGTAAGTCACAGATAATCATAGAGATTTTTTTTTACCTCATCAGTGTCATGAAAAAAAATTATATCTTTTATCTGAGTCGTTTTAGTAGCATCTTTTCTCCTGGCAAGATAAAAGAGCATAGTCTTGTATTTGTTTCTTTCTTGACATAGCATGGTAAAGATACCTGCTCAGCAGCTGCTGTTTGAACAATATTCATAATTTTGGGGGCAGCTTTTTAACACTGACTTAAGAATAGAAGGCTTATTGTCAAATGGCAGCTATTGTCTATGAGTGGAGTCATGTGTGAATTGGCTTTCAGGTGCCATACTCTTCCTTGCTACATATATGCATGGCTAGTGGTTTTGACCATACTCTTCCAAGTATACCTTTTCAAATCAAGGTTGAAAAATAATTGTTGATTAAAAGAACTTTCTTCTCTATAGCATTTTTTCACTGGTAATCAGTTGCCTAATGTTTTTTGATGAAGTATATACCAGAAGTTGATTTATACTCAAAACACTAGTAGTTTTGTACAACCGTAAACCAAATTATTTAAGACCATACATCTGTGATAGTAATTGTTCTTTCTCACTATGTACCACACATATTTTATAATGTCCAGTAGTGGCTTCTGATGATAGAATTTTGCCAGTAGATTGTTTTCTCTCTGAGCATATTTGTCATTCATTTTGAAGTGACCATAGTTTATCTGTTTTTGTTAAAATAAGTTGAAGTTCCCTTGCCTGCAGTTTTTAATATTTGCTTTCAATGGCAAAATTTATAATTCAGGCATTGATTGGTTTATTTACTACAGTGGTTGAAAATTAAATGAATGCTTCATCGACTTGTCAATTGTCCTGTGTTTCAGTTCCTGTTTAATAATGTGTAACAGTACAGTGGGGAAAAGGAGGTCTCCAAATGTAATCAACCATTCCTAATTTACTGATCATAGCTCATTCTAACATAACACTATTTTCATTCAATGATCAGTGTTTATCATTTGTGGCATTCTGAGTTTAATGTGTTTTACTCTTCAGTGAACAGTTTGAGGCATTAGTTCATTTCCCTAAATTTGGGGTTTAGCACATTATGATAGTAAGGACAAAATATCTACTTAACCAATGTAAACAATTCACATGATGCAAGTTTGTTAGCTGAAACAGTCCCATATTAACTATCTTTGTAGTATATGTGTGACCCATGAAACATAACAATTAACTTAAAAGAATTTCCTTGAAAGTCATGATTAATCTTACTTTTCAGATTTGTGAAGTGTTTATGATCAAAACTTTTATCACTTTTTATTAAATTGTTAATAAAAACAATTTCTAGACCAGTTAATTAATTGCCAGGGACCACCATTGGTCCCCAAACAACACTTATAAAACACTGGCTAGAAGAAGGAATAAAAGATGAGGGGGTAAAAAAAAAAACAGAGAGGAAGAGATGATGGTTAACAGTCTGTGGAATGATCCCTGTGTAGAAGGTATTTTAAACGGTTTTGTGTGGATTTAGCCTCAGTCTGCTTGGCTAGCTGGCAAAGTCTGTATCTTTTCTGGTACTTACAGTGGTGGCCAGAATGGGGGACAGGGGTGTCAAGGTGTCAAGTATGTGTTCTTAATTGTTGATAGGGAGTATAGTGTGCTCTTTATGAAAAACTTAAGAGGTCTCATAAGACTCATATACCTCTCACTATTTGCCACCTACATTAGGGTTTACTTTCTTTGGGCAATTGTATATATGCAACTACATACTTAAAAGCAATACAGCCCTGGCTGGTGTAGCTCAGTGGTCTGAGCACAGGCCTTCCAATCAAAGGATTGAGGTTCGATTCCCAGTCAGGACACATGCCTGGGTTGCAGGCCAGTTCCCAGCAGGGGACACATGAGAGGCAACCATACATTGATATTTCTCTCCCTCTCTCCTTCCCTTCCCCTTTAAAGATAAATAAATAAAATCTTTAAAAAAAAAAAGCAATACAAAGTATGTGTGGTCTGAAGACCAATAACATTGGAATCATCTTAGGAGCTGTTAGGAATAAAGAACCTTAGCCCCTGCCCCTACCAATCCCCACTTTCACTTCAAAATTTGCATTTTCGTGAGATCATCAGATAATTTATGTGCACATTAAATTTAAGGGGCATTACTTTACTTTTTTAAGATTTTATTTATTCTTAGAGGGGAAGGGGAAAAGAGAGGAGGAGAGAAACATTGATGTGCAAGAGATAACATCAGCTGGTTCCCTCTCTCACACTGCTAACTGGGGGCCTGGCCCACAACACAGGCATGTGCCCTGACTGGGAATCGAACCAGCAACCTTTTGCTACACAGCTGGCACTGAATCCACTGAGTCACACCAGCCAGGGAAAGGAACATTACTTTAAAACATGAAGGAAATACCGGTTAAAAAAGTTTGTCTTCCATTAAAAATGAAGAATTTCTGTAATGTTCAAGACCAGGTAGTAGCTTTTTTTTTTTTTTTTTTTTACCTAAACAGATAATTCAGGGGCGATACCTTGAGGGCAGAATTCTTGATTCCCTTTTTTCCCCCATTTCTTTCAATGTTGTTTTGTACTTTTCAGCGTACAGGTCTCTTTTGTTAAATTTATTCCTAAGTATTCTTTTTGAGGCTCTTTTAAATGGAATTGTTCCCTTAATTTTATTTTCAAATTGCTTTTGTGAGTGTGTAGAATACAATTGATCTTTATATTTTGATCTTGTATTCTGCAACCATGCCGAACTTGTTTAATAGTTCTGACAGTTTTTACGGTTAATTGCTTAGGCTTTCCTATATACAAGATTATTCATTTGTGAACAGAGACAGTTGTACTTCTTTTTCAGTCTCAGTGCTTTTATTGCCCTGGCTACAACCTCCATTATAATGCCAAATGGACGTGGTAAGGACAGAGATCTTTTTCTTTTTCTTTTTCTTTTTCTTTCTTTCTTTTTTGATCTTAAGAGAGGAACAGTTTTTCACCATTAAGTATGTTATCTCTGGGTTTTCAGTAAACTTTATCAGATTGACGTGTTCCCTTCTATTTCACTGTTTTTACCATGAAACAGTGTTGAATTTTGTCAAATGCTTTTTCTGCATCTGTAGAGATGATCAAGTGATTTTTATCCTTTATTCTATTAATATGGTATACTACATTAATTGATTTTCATTTGTTAAACCAACTTTACATTTCTAAGATAAATTCCACTTGGTCATGGTGTATTACCCATTTTAGATATTGTTGGATCTGATTTGCTAAGATTATTTGTTGGAATATAATTGTTCATTGTTCCCTTTTTATTTCTATTACGTTGATATTAATGTCCCCTCCTTGATTCATGACTTTGGTAATTTGAATCTTATCTCTTTTTCCTTGGTCAGTCAAGCTAAGGTTTGCCAATTTTGTTAGTCTTTTCAAAGATTCAACTTTGCTTTCATTGACTTTTCTCTTTTTTTTATCTTCTATTACATTTATTTCTACTCTAGTCTTTATCATTTCCTTCTGTCTGCTTGGTTTAGGTGTAGTTTTCTTTTTCCAGTTTTTAAAGGTGGAAGTTTAAATTACTGTTTTTTTCTAAAAAGATTTTATTTTTAGAGCAATTTTAGGTTCACAGCAAATTGAGAGGAAGGTACAGAAGTACCCCATATACTCCGTGCCTGCTCACATGCATAGCCTCTTTCATTATCAACCTCTTTTGCCAAATACATTTATTATAATCAATGAACAATTGACACATCATTACTATTACCCAAAGTCCATTGCTTATATTAGGGTTCATTCTTGGTGGTGTACGTTCTGTAGGTTTGAACACAGGTGTAATGACATGTATCTACTTCTAAAGTATAATAATACATAGTAGTTTCACTGCACTAAATAAATATCTTAACCCCTGGCAACTACTGATGTGTTCACTGTCTTCATGTTTTTGCCTTTTTCAGAATGTCATATAGTTGGAATCATACAGTATATAGCCTTTTCAGATTGGGTTCTTTTAGTTAGTAATATATACTTAGTTTCTCCATGTCTTGATAGTTCATTTTTTAGCACTGAAAAGTATTTCATTATCTGGATGCACCACAGTTTATTTCTTCATTCACCTACTGACAGACAACTTGGTTGCTTCCAAATTTGGGGCAATTGCAAAAAAAAAAAAAAGTAAACATCTGTGTGCAGGTTTTTGTGGACATGTTTTTAATTTATTTAAGTAATACCAAGGAAAATGATTGCTGGATCATGTGATAAGAGTATGAGGGCAGACTCTAAAAATAAGGAATTTATCAAAAATTGTATATTCTTACATGTTGAGACTTCAGTCACCTTCAGAGTACTCTCCATTTGATACAGTACACCTATCAAGACATTTTTTCCACTGCTCAGAACAGTTTTTTAATTCATCAATCTTGATGTCTTTTAGTGCTTCTGCCATTTCTTTGTTTCACCTCTTCTACATCAGCAAAACATTTCCCTTGGAGTACTTTTGGGGAAACAAAAAAAGTCACTTGGGACAAGATTGGGTAAATAGGGAGGGTGGGGTATAGGGGTCATGCCATTTTGGGGTCAAAAACTGCTGAATACTCAGCACAATGTGGGCAGGTGCACTCATAAATAGTCAAACATGTTGAAAAAGTCTTCAGAAAAATTCAGTATAGCAAAACACGCAGCCACTCAACAACACTAGCTGGTACACTGATACAGATGGGTTCTTAGAGCACTCACCTAGCAGGGGAAATCTGTACTACAAGGAGCACACCCTCCAGAAAATAATTCCAGTTTTTTGGGGTCCTCCTCCTATGTTCAGTTTTGTTAGGAAACTGCCAAACTGTCTTTCAAAGTGGCTGTACATTTTGCATTCCAACCAACAATGAATTCTTGTTGCTTTATGTCTTTGTCAGCATGTGGTATTGTTCGTGTTTGGATTTTAGATGTTAAGTGATAATGTCATCTATCTTCTTCAGTGAGGTATCTGTTAAGTCTTTTGATTATTTTTAAAATCAGATTATTTTCTTCTTGTTGAGTTTTAAGTATTTTTTTGTGTATTTTGTTTAACAGTCCTTTGTCAGGCATTTCTTTTGGAAATATTTTCTCCGGTCTTCACCCTGTCTGCTCGTTTTCTTGATCTTTTTAAAAAAATTATTTATATATAATTTTTTTAATTTAATTATTGTTCAAGTACAGTTTTCTGTCTTTTACTCCCATCCCAGCCCACCCCCCTTAGTTGTTGTCCATGTCTCCTTTATACTAGTTCCCCTAAATCCTTCCTCCCTTTGCCCTGAAATTCCCTCCCCTCTCCCCTCTGGTCACTGTCCCCCTGTTCTCTATTTCAGTGTCTTTGGTTTATTTTGCTTGCTTGTTTGTTTTGTTGTTTAGCTTCCTGTTACAGGTGAGATCATGTGGTATTGTTTCACCACCTGGCTTATTTCACTGAGCATAATGCTCATTTTCTTGATCTTTTTTAATGTAGTCATTTACAGCTATGAATTTCTAAGGACTGCTTAGATTCTTTTTGAACCTGTTGATTATTTAGGAGTGCGTTGTTTGATTTTTACATATATGTTAATTTCCTAAATGTCCTGTTATTGATTTCTAATTTTATTCCACCGTGATCAAAGAACATACAAAGAACAAGACTTCTGTTCTTTTAAATATATTAGGGCTTGTTTTATGGTCCAACATGGTTTATCCTGGCAAACATTTCATGTGTGCTTGAGAAGAAGGTGCAGTCTGTTGTTGAAGGGAGGGTTTTATAGCTATCTAGTTGGGTTCATAGTATTTTCAAGACTTCTTTTTTCTTGTAGATCTTTCACCAGTCTTTCAGGGAAAGGGAGATATTGAGGTCTTCAGCTATTGTTGAATTATCTATTTCTTCAATCACTTCCATTTTTGTTTTATTTTGGGCTCTATTGTTAGGTGTATATATGTTCCTAATTGTTCCATGTTGCTGATGGATTGTCCCTTTTATCATTATAAAATGGCCTTTGTTTCTACTAACAATTTTATAGTTAAAATCAGCTTTTAAGTGTAGGCACTTCTGTTCTCATCTTAATAAGTTAGTAGTAAATTCTTAGGTTACATTCAAGTGAAATTTTTATCACAGTGTGTTTGTATTTATTTTTATTGTTGTTATCAACTAAACATCAATTTAAAATTACATATAGGGTTGAAAATAACAATCACCCTCAGAAAGTTATTTTTAAATGTTAAGTGAAGTGTAAAACTTGGAAAGATAATTCACTAGGGATAATGAGGAATGATTCCTAGGACAAACCTTTCTCAGAGAATCTTGCAAATGAAATTAATAGTTGTTACAATTTTATTTTATGTTACAATATAAGTAATAATATTAACACTGATATCAATACCTATTATTTGCCAACAGTCTGCTACTGTTTGCCAGACACTATTATTGGTCAGTTTGCCTATATTTTTTTTAAACTTCTCAAAAACAAGAACATAGTAGATATTATCCTTCTTTTACAGATAAGAAAACAGAGTCAACAAATTTATTTAATGGAAGCCCATCAGCTTCTAGCAAGTAAGTGAAGGAGCCAGCATTTTAAATTGCTAAAATTCTTGTTGCTATCACTGAGACAGCCACCAGGCCACACATGATTCATGATTAAGAAGTAGTTTTAGGTACTATAAGAGCAAATAGGACTAATGTTAATCTGAAAATATTTGAGATAATGCTAATGAATATGTATGGTCTGTTCCCTTTTTTCTTTGTCTTGATATTTGTCCTGCCAGAAATGGAAAGGAGTAACAAATACATGAAAGAAAAGATGCAGCAACTACATCTCATAGGCAGTATTTTTTCTTTTTTTTATGGTTTTTTTTTTATTTTATTTATTTTTGAAGAAACAGGGGAGGAAAAAGAGAGAAACATCAGTGTACAAGAGATACATCAGTCAGTTGCCTCTCTCATGTCCCCAACTTGGGACCCAGCCTGCAACGCAGGCATGTGCCCTGACTGGTAATTGAACTGGCAGTCTTTTGGTTCGAAGGCCTTTCAGTGCTCATTCCACTACTCACACCAAACAGGGCACATTTTCTTTAACTCTTAAATGTTTAAGTTGACATTATGTGTTTTCCCTACAAAATTCAAAGATACAAAATTCAATGAAAAGTCTTTTCATCATGTCTGCCAGTCATGATGCCAAATACTTTTTTATTACAAATCTCTGGTGTTTCATTCTAGTGTTCTCTTTTCTCCTTTCTTCTCCCCTTCTTCCTCCCTTCCCTCTCTTTCTCCCTTCCTGTCTCCCCTCGTCTCTACACACAATGACAGTAAGAATCTACAAACATTAGGGTAGTGTTAAAGGAACAAACAAGGGATTGGGAAATAGCCAGGGATCAGCAATTAGGGGAAACCATTTCTACTCCTAGGTCTGAAAGTACAGGGGAAGGGGGCTGTTGACAGAACTTGACAAGAGCTGTAGCAGAGAGCAAAAGGTTGTTGAACAGGACCTGCAAATTTTAGAGAAATGCAAACTGCCTGCAGTGAGGCAGCCCTGGACAAAATTCCCTTAACACTTTTCACCACCCTCTGACTTTCCAGCTATTCCATCATTGTTAGAACACATCAGAAACTAGAGGAGGGCAAGTTGCCTGAAAGATGCTACTTGTTTGTCCACCCTCCCAGTAAACAAAGCAGGGTGGAGAAAAATGAGGGGTAAACCAGGAGAGGCAAACAGAATATGAGCACAGTTAGGTTATGTGTTAATATATTCTAGATTAGTATATTATACATCCTCTTCCATACTTGTTTTTTTTTTCTTTGCAATATATGGTAGACATCGTTTATATTAGTATATAAAGAGGTTTTTTTCTTTAGTTACATAGATGTATGGTTATTTATATAACCACTTTCCAGTTGACAGACATTTAGGCTGTTCTTTTTTTAGTTCAGTTTCTTTATTTTGTTTCTGCAAATGTTGATAAGTAAATGAGATAGATGAGTTTAAAGTTGATGAGTTTATTATAGAAATACCACTCAATTCTTTGAATTTTTCTTTAGGCTGTTTCTAACTTTTTACTGGTACAACCAGTCCTGTCATAAACCACTGTATAAAATAATTTTATATAGCTTTGCAAATGTATCCATAAGATAAATGACTAGAGTGGAATTGCTGGGTTAAAGGTATGTGCATTTGTAACATTAATAGATATCATCAAATTGGCTTTTGTAGAGATTATACCTATTTAATCTTCCCAACAGTGTATTGGAGTGCCTGCTTTTCCATTGTATATCTGCTGCCTTAGCATTGATCAAAGCTCAGCAGAATATTCACTCAGGTATTTTATTTCTCTTTTATTTTGAAATATTTCATTAGTTGAAAAAAGGATATAAACTACATATGAGGAATAAAGACAAATAAACTATCACCTATTTACCCCTCAATTTTGGAAATAAATTATCCTTTGAGTTCAACATTTTATCATTAAGTAATGACTATTCCATACATAATAATGCTTTTTTGTCTTAAAATTATATAGATAATATAGAATAGGTGTAGTATAACTACACCAGCTTTTTGTTTACATCAGCTTTTTATTTTAGGACAACTTTTGATTTATAGAAAAATTACAAAAATAGTGCAGAGTGTTCCCATATAGTCCACATCCTATTTCCTCTATTAACATATTAGCATGGTACATTTGTTATAATTAATGAGCAAATATTGATATTTATTATTAAATAAAATTCATACATTATTCAGATTTTAAAATTTTTTTGCCTTATGTCTTTATTCTGTTCCAGGATACTTATCCAGAATATATTCAGTCATGTTTCCTCAAGCTTCTCTTGGCTCTAATAATTTCTCAGACTTTCCTTGTTTTTGATGACCTTGAGACTTTTGAGGAATACAGGTCAAATGTTTTGTAGAATGTTGCTCAGTTGGGAGTTGTTTGATGTTCTTCCCATTATTTCGGGGTCAAGAGTTTGGGGGGGAGCAAGAGGTGAAAGTGTGAAGTATGATTTTCATACCACATCAAGGGTGAGTTACTTATCACTGGTGGTACTCACCTTGATCACCTGGTTAAGGTAGTGTTTCTCAGACTTCTCCACTATAAAATTATTTTCCCCCTTTAAGTACCAGTTTTAATGTTTTGTTGCATTTTTCCCTGTTCAATTTTTCTCATCCTTTTATTTTCAGCTCTTATTAGCTTTTTTACATTCATTATGATATTGATATAGTTGGATTTTTACTGTCAAATTTTGTGCATCCTGTTTGTCCTGCTTTTTTTAAGTTTTGTACTTTATTTTCCTGTTTTAAGTATATATCCTTGAAAGCTCATAGCTTTTATCTCTTCTCCCCCAATCTTTCAGTTCTTATCTTCTGTAACTGTGATTAGAATTATGTTAAACATTTTCACTTTATCTTTCATGTCCCTTCACTTTTGTGTTTTTCATCATTTGGGCTCTCTGTGCTATATAGCATCATAATTTCTCCTTAACTGTTACCCAGTTCTCATTCTCTCTCCAGCGGTGTCAATCTGCAGTTTGAGGGGTGTTCTTTTGTTTTTTGGTTTTCTTTAAGTTCTCTGTTTTTTAAATATGCCTGGTCATTTTTCATACTCTCATGCTTCTTGTTTATTTATAAATTATCTTGTATTTTGTTCCATAATTTTTATGGTCAGAGTGGTAATATGTATTTAAAGTCTGATAGCCTAGATTTGTTTTTCTTTTGCCTCTTGCTTATAGTGCTTTATTTCCCATAACTGTGGGAATCATGTTCATATTTATACTCTGTGGATATTTGGACAGTGAAGGACCTCCAAAAAGGATTTGCAAGGACATGGCCAGTCTGGAATTGCTTTCATCTCTGGGCTTTGCCCCATAGCACAGACAGATTTCTAACCTGAAATCTGCATGCTAGTTGACTATGGTTACAAATTCTTAGAAGAAACCATCCTCCTTGTCATTCTTTTCTTCTTGATAATAACAGTTTTCTTTGCTGCCTCACTTTATTATCATACAGATTTTTTTCCCTAGCTTACCCTTCTAAAGGTCTCAGTATCCAATTTGTATGGAACCAAGAGCTAATATGACTTGTAGAGAAAACCCAGTATTTTAGTTTTTATCCTTGTAAATTTTTTATTGAAAAGAAAGATCATTTGTCATCAGAATATCCCACTTTCTGGATTTTATTATTACATCGCAAGCATACTAAGGTAATAAATAAGTTGCCCTATCTCTAGCACATGTTGTAAACTGTTGTTCAGATCTCATTGATGAGGTTATGAATGGGGTTTTTGTTTTTGTTATGTTTTTGCAAGGATATTTAATAAATGATTCTGCATACTTCTTATTACATCACAACATGAGCCATATAATGTATACTTATCATTCAGAGAGGAGATATTACAACTGACACCTCAGAAATACAAAGGATCAGAAGAGACATTTATGAATAATTATATGCCAGCAAAATGAATAACCTAGAAAGATAAATTTCTGGAAACATACAACCTACCAAGACAAAATCATGTGAACAGACCAATAACAAGTAAGGAGATCATAAACCTCCCAACAATGAAAAGCCCTGGACCACACGGTTTCACTGATGAATTCTACCAAACTTTTAAGGAAGAATAAATAACGAGTCCTTCTCAAACTCTTCAAAAAAATTGAGAAGAGATTCAGCATTACCCTGATACCAAAGCCAGATAAGGGAACTATATGAAAACTACAAGCCAATATCCCTGATGTATATAGATCACAAATTCTCATCAAAATACTAGCAAACCAAATTCAACAGCACATTAAAAGGATCATACATCATGGCCAAAGGCAATTTATCCCCAGGATGGAAGGATGTTTAACAACTGCAAATCAGTCAATGTGATATATCACATTGATAGAATGAAAAGTGAAAGCTACATGCTCATCTTAATAAATGCAGAAAAAGAAAAAAATTGGGTATAAAAGGAACACTTCAAGATAGTAATGGCCATATATGACAAACCCATCACTGACTTGATACTCAGCAGTGAAAGGTCAAAAGCTTCCCCACAAAGATCAAGACAAGAGCATCCATTTTCACCAGTCCTATTCAGCATAGTGCTGGAAGTCCTAGCCAGAGCAATTAGGTAAGAAAAAGATGTAAAACTTCCAAGTCAGAAAGAAGTAAAACCGTTTGTGTTTACAGATGATATTTTATATGTAGAAAGTTCTAAAGCTACACCCAAAAAAAAAACTGTTAGAACTAATAAACTTAGTAAAGTTGCAGGATACAAAATCAACATACAAAAATCAGTTGTGTTTCTATACAGTAAGAACAAACTATCTGAAAAAGAAATAAAACCAGCTCATTTACAATATCAAAAATAATAAAATGTTTAGAAATAAAACTAAGAATTACAAGACATTGGTGCAAGAAATTAAAGACAAAAATACAGAGATATCCTATGCTTATGGATTAGAAAAATTAATATTACTAAAATGTTTATTCTGGCCAAAGCCATTTATAGATTCAGTGCAAGCCCTGTCAAAGTTCCAATGGCTTTTTTCACAGAAGCTGAAGCAATAATCCTAAAGTTTACATGGAACTACAAAAGACCTCTCCCAAGCAATCTTGGGAAAGAACAAAGCTGGAGGCATCACATTTTCTGATTTCAAACTATAAAGTTGTATTTACAAAGCTCTAGTAATCAAAGCAATATGGTACCAGCCATACTAATACATAGGCCAGTGGAGCAGTATAAAGAGCCCAGAGTACATATATATTCAACTAATATTGTATAGTGGAGCCAAGAATACCCAGTGAAGAAAGAATAGTATCTTCAGTAAATGCTATTGGGCCCTGGCTGATGTGGCTTAGTGAATTGAGCACCGGCCTGCACTGATTCAATTCTCAGTCCAGGGCACATGCCTGGGTTACAGGCAAGGTCCTCATTGGGGTGTGTTTGAAAGGTGACTACACAGTGACGTGTCTCTCCTCTTTCTCCCTCCCTTCCTGTCCATCTAAAAATAAGTAAAATAAAATCTTTTTTAAAAAACTAGTATGGGGTAAACTGGATATTCACATGCAAAAGAATGAAATTGGAGTCCAATCTTATGACACTCAGGAAAAAGTTTAAATGGGTTAAAGACTTAAATTTAAGACCTGAAACTGTAACTTCAGCCAGGATGGAGGTGTAGGTAGATACACTTTGCTTCCTCGCACAATCAAAAGAAGAAAAACAACAAACTCAAAAACAAAAAATAACTAGAACTTCCAGAAAATTGAACTGTATGGAAGTTCAACAACCAAGGAGTTAAAGAAGAAACATTCATCCATACTGGTAGGAGGGGCAGAGATGGACAGCCAAGGAGGAAGGGGTTCTCAGTGAGGTGGAAGCTAGCAGACCTGGCAGTCCCACATTTGCATGTGTATAAACCGGGAGGAATAACAGGAAAGCAAGACAGACCATACAACCCAGGGCTCTAGTGCAGGTCAACAAAGCCTCAAAACCTCTGACTGTAAAAATCTGTGGGGGTTGAGACAACAGGAGAAATTCTCTGCCTCACAGGAGGGTTCATTGGAGAGACCCACAGAGTCCTAGGACATCCACAAACCCACCCCACCCACCACAGGAATCAGCTCCAGAAGGGCCCAATTTGCTTGTGGGTAGTGGGGGAAGTATCTGAAAGCCATCCAAGAGCCAAGCAAGTGGCACTGTTCCCTCTCTGACCCCTGTCACACCTACAGTGCCACAGCACCACAACGTGGGATGCCCCACCCTGGTAGATACCTAAGGCTCCGCCCCTTGCTGCGTAACAGGCACACCAAAACAAAAAATAAGGCCCAAATGAAAGATCAAATCTCCAAAAACAGAACTAAGCCACAAAGAGATAGTTACCCTATCAGATGCAAGGTTCAAAACATTGGTTATCAGGTTGCTCACAGAAATGGTTGGGTATGGTTGCAAAATAGAGGGAAAAATGAAGGCTATGCAAAGTGAAATAAAGGAAAACGTACAGGGAACCAACAGTGACGGGAAGGAAACTAGGACTCAAGTCAATAATTTGGAACAGAAGGAAGAAACTTTGAACCAGAACAGAATGAAGAAACAAGAATTCAAAAAAATGAGGAGAGGCTTTAGGAACCTCCAAGACAGACAACTTTAATGTTCCAACATCCAAATCATAGGAGTGCCAGAAGGAGAAGAGGAAGGGCAAGAAATGGAAAACTTATTTGAACAAATAATGAAGACTTTCCCAATCTGGCAAACAAAGTAGACTTCCAGGAAGTTCAGGAAGCTCATAGAATCCCAAAGAAGTTGGAACCAAGGAAGCAAGTACCAAGGCA